TAATGCAGATGATTCAAAAACATTGCTGATTGTGGCGCTCAAGGAGTTTGAAGAGACGAGGATGCTATTTGCGGCAATAGCCTTGTTGCCAGAGGATAAATTGGTGTTGTTGAAGGAAACAATGCTGAGAGATTTTTGAATATTATGTTTTTATGTATCAATTTTGATGTTTATTGAATGATGATTCGATTGATTGCTCTGTTTGTAAGGACTTCCAAATTATGAATAAAAAATCTAATGTTTTTTTTATTATGTCTCTCGTCGACTTTTCCACAGCCAAAACCACACGAGAATTCGTTTCCTGTGATTCTATGTAAATTGTGTTCATGCCCATCTATCATGATTGTTGCAAGGTTTGTCTTTTTAGGAGTTCTCATTGATTTTGTGAGATTTTTGTACATATTTTTTTTTCAAGTGTAACAAAAATTTATAACAAATTAAATTATTTTTGATCAAACCAAATATAGAATTATATATGTTTAACAAAAGCCTAAAAAATTTAAAACATTAGAGATCAATACATGTTTTTATTCTTTTGAATATGATTCTCCTTGCAATTTATTTCTTTTGAATATATCAATTGAACATTATTCAAAATGTATGGTATACCGTATACGTCTACATGTATGGTATACGTCTACATAGATTCAGTATCGTAAATTCAATATCTATGATAATTAACCAGATATCTCATTCAAATATTTCACGACAACGTAACTCTACATGTATGGTATATGTCTGCTGAATACTATTATTAATTTTCTCAACATTATTAAAAATGGAGCTATATAAATTAAAGACAACCCTAGCTAGGTAATATATTCATCTCCGGTGATAACCATCAGCCGGAAATATTGCCTCTGAAGCTACCGCCGCCGATCCAACAGCCACCGAAAAATCAGCACCGCTCTCTTCCTCATCCTCATGCTGATCTCCTCTCCTTTGCTGATGCGGTGGCATTGGCTGCAATGAATGTTCTAAGTTAGTCGGAGCCATGACGTCATAGCTGACCGCTGCTACCTCCGCCGCCACGGTGAAGCTGTTCATGGCGGCTCCGGCGAGAGTGGTGGAGGCGGAGGAGTTGTTGGAGTATTCGGGTTGTTGCATAACGACTAATTGTTGTTGCTGTTGTTGGTGATGAGTTTGTTGTTGCTGTTGTTGGTGATGAGTTTGTTGTTGCATAACGTTGGCCATTGCGACTCTACTGTTTATCAGTTGTGATTGCACCACCGATAACTCCGCCTGTAGCGAGGCCACCTAATAAATTTATGATTAGAAATAAAGATTTATTAATTAACATAGGAAATGAATTTGCACTTAACATAAGAATTTACGAAATATCTTAAAACTTAAATCAAAATTAAGTTGGAAAAAAAACATGTATTTATATTGCGAATTTGAGATCAACGAAAATTTTCAAGCTTGAATAATAATTGGCAGCAGGTAATAAATTCTCGTTTCTCACGTGGTAAGTTTTTTTTAAAAAAAAAAAAATTAAAACAATTAAACACTTTTTGTTTTAATGAAAATGCTAATTTCACTCATTTAGGATTCACACTATATCTCTATTCTCTAGTATTGAAACAATATCAAACTTCTAAATATCATCTCTATTGTTACTTTTATATCTTGTTTATCTGAAACGTTCAAATATGTCCATAGTCGATTTTACCCGTTACAAGCTTTACTAAATAACGGAATTCGGACACCTGATTAGTACTATATCTTACTAGAAAACGTTAAATCAAATTAAGATTAACTTTACCTGTTGTTGGAGAGCAAGGATGGTTGAGACGCAGCCATAGACAGGATCAGAGAGCCTAGCTTGAGCCTCATATGAGATCGTAACCACCGCATCATGACGACGGTTCACCGGAATATGGTGCAACAGTTTCGACACGTTGCTGGCTCCAAAAACCTTATGAACGGCCGCGAACCTAGCCGCTCCTTGGTCTGACCCGAAATGTGGAGCGAAAATGCATCCACTCACACACTTCCTTCTCAAGAACTTGCAAGCCCCACACGGAGACGCCGTCCCTGTCCCCGTCGTCGCAGCCGCCATGGCTACTCCGCCGGAACTAAGTGACGGCGTCGGAGTTTGTTGTGAGGTTCGTTTTCCGGCTAGTGATTTCCGGCGAGAATCTGAGGTGTGGTGGCCTCGCTGCTGATCAGCCATATCACCAAACAAACATAAATTAATAAGGTTTAGTTGATGAGAGTTTCTTGCGAGATAAATGATATCTCTATTTATATATGTATGTTAGTTTATATGAGTGTATATGTACATGTGTGAAAGTGGATATATAAGTAAAAGAAAAACGGAAGAGGCCACGTTTGTTTCATGAAGGAGGTCGCGAGGTGAATGTGGTAATCTTTTTTTTGTTATTTAGTTTGTTTTACAATTATTTCATTTCCAAAATTAATTTGGTCAAAGATTTTTTTTTTTTTTTGGTGTTTTGCATTTGACAGCTTTAAAGGTTATATAACCAAGCGATCTTCCTCTTCCAACCTCTTCTTCTATGAACTACAAAGTGATGATTTCAAGGTAAAAAGTTATGGCTGATGGCACGTGAATGCTTTGTTTAGGCGGTAAGATTTAGAAAAGAAAATTTGTTTGATCAAGTTAGTTGATTGTGTTTGGTAGAATGTGTGATTGTCGATAGGGGAAGTTTGTTTCTCTTTGCCCCTTATCTCATAAAATTAGTACTCTTGTTATTTAAGAGTCGTTGATGTTTTTATATAAGATTTGGTTTGGATTAGTCTTTTGTAAGACTTTATGTTTTTAATGGATTTTCTATGAAATAAAAATATATTTAAATATATATTTTTGACCAGATTTAATTTATATAAAAATATATCAAATATAGAATTCAAAACGTGTCAATTTTAATTGAAAAAATAGAATTGATAAATGCTATAACATAATATATCGTGGCATAAATAATGAGCTACAATTGAATCGAATATAGCATTTAATTAACGTTATGGTAGTGCAACCTATAATAGCATTCCAGAAAATGCTATCGTAGGGGAAACACCTACCATAACTGCCGATGTCATAGCATTTGTGATTTCGCTATCTATAACGTAAGATAGCAGATGTTTTGCGCTATCAATGAACAATTTTCATGTAGTGTATGCAAAGTTTTTTACCATTTTTTTCCACCATTCTATTATTGACTAATTAATTACTTTTGTTTTCTACTTGTTAAGATTAATATATGACAATAGTGTTTCACACGTTTTTCGCATTTGACTAAATTAATCTTTATAAACTTTTTTGTCGTCTATCAATTTTAATTATGAGTATTATTAACTAAAATTTATAGAAGGCAAAAATGATTATATATAACGACTAATATAGTCAAATGCGAAAAAACGTATGCAACATTGTTGACTAAATTAAATGTTTGAAATTAAATAAAGTAATTCTTTTGGCGAAAAAATTACATCAATACTATTCCCTCTGTTACGTTTTATCTGTCGTTTAAGGTTTTTTCACACAAACTAAGAAAAGTATTAAATTTTCTGTTTTACCTTTTATTAATATATCCTATAAATTTTTTCATTGGCCAAAACATTAAAACAATAGGAGTAATACTGGAATTTTTACCAAACATTTGCATTGAAAACCTAAAACGACAACTATTACGAAACAAAATTTAAGTCCTAAAACGATAACTAAAACGAAATGGATGGAGTATTAATTATAACTGGTATTACCCTTTTTACTACCAATTATATACCCTTTTTACTACTTTTGAGAAGCTTAGAAATAAAAGTTTATTAGTTTCGATATATCTTGTAACCTAAATATAACAAAATTTCTCACCATAGATTAATAATGGATTAAGATGTAATTAATTAGGTTATATATTTACGTATGTTGATATTATTGTTTTTTGTTTTTTTTTTCAATTTATGAAATTTCGTATGTTGATATTGTTAGGTGCAAGAACGAGCGTATCAATGGGAAGAAGGTGTGAGGCACACGTGCAAAGAGAGTGTTTGATAAACTAATATTTATTACTTTATAAGTATTTTGTTATATATGTATATATACATATAGTTATTTCCTTAGGTCTAATTTAAATGTAAATATAGTAGTTATGGGTAACTAGTCTAACAAACTTATTGAAATGCGTACATTACGTCTGAACCCATTAGCAATACATTTGATATTTTTAATCATAAATATCTAGAGTCCTTTTGCTTATAAAAGACAACACTTATAAACGTTTCTAAAAGGGGGAAACTTTCGGAAGTTGTTGAAATGTTTCTAGATATTTATGTAACTTTCGGAAGTTGTTGACAATCACATAACCCAAAAGTAGTGGAGAAAAAACAAGTAGAGAAATCAACTTCAGGCCACTAACAATATATATGTAGTGCACGATTCTTTTTTAGAAAATCCAATCGTACATCAATTTGAAGTTTAAGTGTAATACAGTGGTATAACGAAAATTCTATGTTTTTTGCTTCCATAACTTTATCAACCACGGTTTCAGAACCAGTGATGCATGCATGTGTTTTAACGAAAATACACATTAATGTTCTTTATCTCAAGGAAAAAAAGGAAGATAAATCAGACCAAAGTTAGAAAGTTAGTTTCGTTGTCTCAAAAGGTTAAACAAATCATGTACGATACAATGATTAATAACACCTTGTATAGTAGCATCAACTATGTATCGTATTCGTAATTTCGTCTGGATAGATAATTGTAAATGTGAATGTCTGAGAGAGGAGAGGCACGAGAATCGTGTTGACCGTTTCGTGTGGAGTTCTTTGTAATCTAACCAACCTTCATGTCTGTCGTGCTCCTTATCTTCACAACATTCCTCCCTTTTCTTTTTTTCTTACTTTTGTCATTTTCAAAAATACTTTTTTTTCACAAAATTTAGAGTATTTTATGACTTGATTTTCGTGAATTCTAAATTTCTCCCTTTCTTTCTCCACATCAGTAGAATCGCTATTTTTTAAAAAAGAGTGTAACTACCGAATGACAATGACGGTGCTTGGCTGTATTTGCTAGAAACATAAAGCTCAAAATTTTCACATAATAAGAGTGTTTTGGACATTAGTATAGATAGACAAGGTGATGAACTGATGATGAAATCAGGTATTCTCACAAGGCAACGTTCCCAAACAGCAGGAACTACCACAACAGCAATTTAACTTGTTGTCTCTGTTCTCTCCGGTGACACGGACGTCTCCATAACTGAAACTTAACTCCTCCTCTGCAATTATGTCCCTTGCTGCAAAGAAACAGAGCCTAGGAAGCAATGCTCCTGAGCTTCTCAACAGAACGGTGGAGAGATTTCCGCCGTCACAAGAATGGTTGATGAATCTAGCAACGTTCCCAATTCTTGTGGCATCGATGTTTATCCTTAAACAAGCTTGTCCTGAAGGGAGGTGTTCGCGTATGACCAAAAGAGCCGAAGCGAAAGATTGCGTTGATCTCAGTTTGTCGTAAATGTTTTGACGTCTATGTGCTTCATCTGTTGTCAATAGCTCACCTATATAAGAAGAGACAACAAAAACAGTTTTTGACTTTTGCATAAACCAAGTCTGAAGGCTATCAAGTAATGCACAAATGGTCGTTAAGGCAGATCACAAAAAACATATTCAAGAAAGAAGAAAAATTTGCCATTATCTCTAATCTCCACATTCAGCATTGTGCTACCGAGCTAAACGATTGAAACAAGAACATATCAAAAGCTGAAATCATTCACTGATGGAGATCACTCTTATACCATGCTAGAATCTCATCCCAATGCATCAAGCTAAATCTCCAAACTCGTATGCAGTCGAAGTAAATGGCTAATAACTAATGCTAATATTTGTCAAATCATGTACTCTTGAGCTTGATTTTCAAGTTCCAAGAACCTAATGCTAGCGTTCCTCTAATCATGTAATCTTGAGCTCAACTCCAACTTCCAAAGAGAATTCACCCCAAATCAATCAACTTTCACGATCACTAATGTTCCTCTAATGTTGTAATCATTCAACCTTCAAAGATAATTCATCAAAAATCACTAAACTATTCGAGAATCGAAATGTAGTTGTAACCTGCATATTCACAGATGAATTGGCCTTGCTTGATAAGCTGATCAGCGTACAAGCACCAACCTTTCTTCTCATCTCTTACAATCTTCAAACTAACCGAAACCCCCTTCTGTGTAACCCGGTTTGAACAATCCGACCCGCATCCACAACCCGACCCGCATTCATTACCAATCTCCTCCATCCCAACGAAAGCTAAACACTTGCAGTATCCTTCCTCACACCTCTCGCATTCGCATCCTGACTCGTCCAGTAGACTCACTCCAAAACGTCCGCGTTCACTCACTGAGTCAAAACAAGGTCTCGACTCGGATCCACATTCAGTAGCAGCTCCCCACCATTGTCGCGGCGGAGGAGATGACGCGGGAATCTGAAATGGTGTGTAGATGAAGTAAGCGTATCGTTGAGAATCGATGGAGTTGTGAAACGGGATTGAGAGGTTTTCCAAGGATCGTGCAGCGTCAAGGGATCGGTGAAAGGTTATAGATTTGGAAATTAGGGATAAGGTTTTGCAGGTTTGAGAGACAGCGCCGAGTTCTTGAGGGTTTAGGCATGGAAGAATTAAGTTCGCACATCGGAAAAATAGTTCGGTGGCCGGAATAATGTCTGGAGCTTCTCCGAGACAACGCTTCTTCGGTGGTGACTCTCGCTGCATTTTCTCAGCTACCATAAATTTCGTTAGAATTAATCGATACAGAAAAAAAAAAAAAAAACAATTCAGCGAAATACCAAACGACGTCGTTTATCTATAACTTGTATTAATTTCACTCAGTAAATTGTTTCAAGAAAAATAGGTTAATCAATAATCATAAAGCAAAAATTTAAATAATTAATTATTCTTTGAGATATTTATTGATATAGGTAAATTTTGTTTAATGGTTTTTGTTAGTATTGGTTATGTGATTAGTCGGTTTTAAGTTTGGTTATTTATACCCTCTAACTAAGCATACTATCTAAACCCAATCCTCCTCTTCTTCGTTACTTTCATCTACTTCTCTTTCTTCTTCTTCCTCCTTGATTCTGACGATCCATAGCAAAATAAAGGATCTCTCTCTCTCTCTCTCTTCTTCCATGACTTGTACCGCCTTCCTCTCTCCATCTCTCCATAGCTTATTGGATCAATTCCTCTTCTCGATGATGGAATTAGTTTGGTTAGTTGAGACAAGAAATTGAGTAAGATTCCTTTTGTTTTGTTGTTTGAGTTCGTTTAATCGTTAGGGTTTAGCAAGAATTACGTTTTTGATTTATAGATCTCTACGAATCAGGAAGAAGAAGTAAGCTTGTTTCTTTTAGATCTCAACTAAAAGAAAGTTAATTAGTGTTAGGGGACTACTGTGAAATCTGTTGTGGAAGAAGAAGAAGTCAAAGCTGTTGAAGAAGATGAGAGCAATCGTAAGGGTGTGGAGAAGAGTGCATCGTTCAAAGAAGAGACTGAAGTGCATCCCCTTATTTCTATGTCATTTTCTCAGATTAAACTATAGATTAATGGTTTTGTTTACATAAAACTATTATGTGCTTGGAGATCTTGGTCATAGTTCTGTGATAATGTTCATCACTTATTTGCCTCATTTGTTTGAAGTTTACTACTTTGATGTTATCGATATGGCACAAGGTGAACCCTAAGATTAATGCAAATTACCATGTATATGAACATATGGATTTGTTGATATGGATGACAAATAAATAACAATGAAAGAATTAACAATAGATGATGGTAACAAAGAAACTCATGTAAAATGGTCACAACCTTTGCATAATATAGTTAAAATCGACCATTGACTCAAATAACTATTTTTAATCGATCTATTTGTACTTATTTCTAAGATTGAGGTAAAATTTTGTAACTTTTACAAAATAAACTTTAGATTTGGCCAAATTTTGTTAAAATGGTGTGAATTTAAGTTTAATAATTTTGGGTTTTGAGTTTATGGTTTGCATGTGTGGCTTTTTTGCAAAAAAAGAGTTCATATGTTCAAATGTCTGTGGACATTGTATATAAATACTTGTATATATTAACTTTTACCATGTGTTCAGTGTCGGATGGTCAGATAAACAAATAAAACCATATCTAATAGTAAAATATGAACAACATACTTGTTCAGAGTTTGGCAGATGTATAGTCTATCGAAAAACCGAATCCTTAGTCATCTATGTGGTCAAAGTATAGCGGGTATGCTTGGATGATCGATAGTTAAAAATATTGGTGTAGTATGTTTGTTCAAAGTATCTATTGATATCCATTTAATAACTAACAAATGTTCAATCAAAAATGGATAATTACACAAATTTTGTTAAAATGGTGTGAATTTAAGTTTAATAATTTTGGGTTTTGAGTTTATGGTTTGCATGTGTGGCTTTTTTGCAAAAAATGAGTTCATATGTTCAAATGTCCGTGGACATTGTATATAAATACTTGTATATATTAACTTTTACCATGTGTTCAGTGTCGGATGGTCAGATAAACAAATAAAAACATATCTAATAGTAAAATATGAACAACATACTTGTTCAGAGTTTGGCAGATGTATAGTCTATCGAAAAACCGAATCCTTAGTCATCTATGTGGTCAAAGTATAGCGGGTATGCTTGGATGATCGATAGTTAAAAATATTGGTGTAGTATGTTTGTTCAAAGTATCTATTGATATCCATTTAATAACTAACAAATGTTCAATCAAAAATGGATAATTACACAAATTTTGTTAAAATGGTGTGAATTTAAGTTTAATAATTTTGGGTTTTGAGTTTATGGTTTGCATGTGTGGCTTTTTTGCAAAAAATGAGTTCATATGTTCAAATGTCCGTGAACATTGTATATAAATACTTGTATATATTAACTTTTACTATGTGTTCAGTGTCGGATGGTCAGATAAACAAATAAAACATATCTAATAGTAAAATATGAACAACATACTTGTTCAGAGTTTGGCAGATGTATAGTCTATCGAAAAACCGAATCCTTAGTCATCTATGTGGTCAGAGTATAGCGGATATGCTTGGATGATCGATAGTTAAAAATATTGGTGTAGTATATTTGTTCAAAGTATCTATTGATATCCATTTAATAACTAACAAATGTTCAATCAGAAATGGATAATATGTAATATAATTATTCACTTAAAATATAGTAAAATGGATCTTAAAATGTATGAAAAACTAAATCTTAATTTATTGTATAAAAAAAATGATAAGATATGTGATTTTAAGTAATTAAAATGCTAATAAAGAGATAATGAGAGAAAAAAAAAAGAGAGAGAGAGAGGGAGAAAGAGAAGTTACGAAGAAGGAGAAAAAAAAAGAATTATGTAAATATGTTTGTATGTAAACGTTTTCTTTTACACCTAACATCTAGTTTCAGGGTCATTTTCGTATTGATTTAAAATCAACAGTGTAAAAAGATTGGAAAACACAAAAAGTGAAAAATAGGTTAATCAATAATCATAAAGCAAAAATTTAAATATTTAATTATTCTTTTCAACATTTTCATAGATTGATATAGGTAAATTTTGTTTAATGGTTTTTGTTAGTATTGGTTATGTGATTAGTCGGTTTTAAGTTTGGTTAATCATACTGCTATTAATGAGATTTTATTACCCGTTCATGACTTTATGTCTGCATTTTAACTGAAAGCCGCGTTGAATCATCTTCCCAAGGAAAAAAATAAAAATTCATAAAACAAAATCCATCTCAAAGAAACCAACGACGAAATTTTCGAAATGCCATCGCCACCGACGACGACTTCTCTCTCCGTCACACAAACCATAAACGGATCACACAGCTTCACAATCAAAGGCTATTCTTTGGCCAAAGGAATCGGGATCGGAAAACACATCGCCAGCGATACTTTCACCGTCGGAGGCTATCAATGGGCAATCTATTTCTATCCTGATGGCAAGAATCCTGAGGATAATTCGGCTTATGTCTCCGTTTTCATTGCTCTTGCTAGCGATGGTACCGATGTTAGGGCTCTCTTTGAGCTTTCTTTGCTTGATCAGAGTGGTAAAGGGAAGCATAAGGTTCATAGCCACTTCGATCGTGCTCTTGAGAGCGGTCCTTATACACTCAAGTATCGTGGCAGCATGTGGTTCGTTTCTCCGATTTTTCTTTTGATTTTTTTTATTTTTCTCTTAACTCTTTGCTAGGGTTTGGTAAAGAATTGGCTTAGGGTCTTTGATTTCTAGTGAAAGCTCATTACTTTCAGGGTAAATTTTGCTCCTTTGTCGGGGTTGATATTAGGTTAGGGGTATTATTAAGTGGTCAAGAGTTTGATTTTGTGAATGGAAACTGGAATATTTGGATAGGAGAAGGATGTAGATTGTTGAAGACAAGATGGTGTGAGCTCACAAGGATAAAAAGATTGAGAAATTCAGAGGAAATTGAATTACATTGGCTGTGGATTTCTCAATTTGTTTGATTCTTTTGTTTGTGTGACCTGTATATGAAGTTGAGAAATGGATGGTGAGAGCTTTCAGATGTGAGAAGATAAACAAAGTTGTGGGAGAGTTGATGTTGGAGGCTGCTTGGCTTTATTTTTGTGGTTTACTTGAAACTCTGACCTATGGAAAGAGAGAGGACTTGGAGACTTGGAGTAGGAGAAGCAAATTTCTAGAATATGAAGATTCTTTTACCTGTTTTTGACATCCTGTTACTAGTTTGCCTGAACTTTTCGTAAAAAGAATTAGGTTCCTGCTGCTTCACCAGCTTGTAGCGTTGGTTCTGTAGTTAAGGAAACTTGATTGGGAATGAGAGAGGGTTTGGACTGATGATATCTAGGATTTTCTTGAAAAGTAATATTTTTCACACGTTGGCGTGATTTGCTATATAGGCACCAATCTTTCAGAATGGTAGGCTAATTTTGAAGTAGGAACATTGCTTACTGTTCACCTGCATATAGCAGCACAAATCTTGCTTGTATGAATATCTTCATGTTAGGTTTGATGCCGCTTGTATGAGTAAAGCAATAGAGTATTGTGTTTTGCCCTCAAGATAAATTTGGTACCGTTGGTTTTCCTGCTTTAAGCATCTGTTGTTAAGTCTGCTTGTATGAATTAATCAACCATTGTCTGCTGGTTTCTCCTTCTTGAAGGTGATGCCTTTGGCTTTTGATTTGACTCTGCATTAGAAAGCTCTCAAAATTTTTACTGCTTGTTAATGCAGAGGAATCATTCCCTCATAGAGTTTTGTACTTCCCTGTTTCGCTCAACGGATTCTTATTCGATTTTATTTGCTTACAGGGGCTACAAGCGCTTTTTTAGAAGACTTATGCTGGAAACATCTGATTTTCTGAAGGATGATTGTTTGAAAATTAATTGTACTGTGGGAGTTGTGGTCTCAGAAATAGATTGCCCACGGTTACATTCTATTCATGTCCCTGCATCTGATATTGGATCTCATTTCGGGATGCTTCTGGAGAATGAGGACGGTTCAGATATAACTTTTAATGTCTCTGGTGAAAAGTTCCGTGCTCACAGGTTAGTATTGGCTGCTCGATCTCCTGTCTTTGAAAGCGAGTTCCTCGATGATACTGGAGAAGAAGATCGTGATATTGAAGTTACTGACATGGAGCCTAAGGTTTTCAAGGTAAACTTTCTCTCAACTTTTTGACACTAAGCATGTATCAACATCACACAATGTAAACGCATCGCATTTCTTTCTAATTCTTGATGCATTTCTGGTGAAGGCTTTGCTCCACTACATATACAAGGATGCTCTCATTGAAGATGCAGAGTCATCATCATCTTCCGGTTCATCTGTTGGTCCATCTGCATCAGACACATTAGCTGCAAAGCTACTAGGAGCCGCTGATAAATACAAGTTGCCTAGACTAAGTCTAATGTGCGAGTCAGTGCTCTGCAAAGATATATCAGTAGATTCCGTTGCAAATATTTTGGCGCTTGCTGACCGCTACAATGCTTCCGCCTTGAAATCTGTTTGTCTGAAATTCGCAGCAGAAAATCTCATCGGTAATAACCTTCCCTTATGGCTCATCACTGAAATTGATTTCACACCATACTTATATTGCATAAACATTTGTTTTGATGCAGCTGTTATGAGGTCAGATGGGTTTGATTATCTAAGGGAACACTGCCCATCACTTCAGTCTGAACTTCTGAAAACAGTTGCGGGATGCGAAGAGGAGTTAAGCGGAGGAGGAGGGAAGACGAGAAGCGTATGGGGCCAATTCTCAGACGGTGGAGCTGAGACAAATGAGAGAAACGGAAGACAACCACAGACTTGGGGAGATATCAATGGAGGAGCAGAGAGAAGCCAGAGTGTTTGGGTCGAAGTTGTGAACGCTAATGCAAGCGGTAGAAACAATAATGACAACAATAACAGTGATGACCCAATGGCAGAAGATTGAGCAAATAAAAGGTAATAAAAAAGCCAAAGGAAAATCCGAGTAAGCTGAAGTTAGGAACAGACATCATGATGCGGAGATCTTGTAACTTAGTGTGACCACTGTCGAATGATGTGGATCATGGGAGACGATTTAGTGTTGTTGTTGTATTACTTTTTTCTTGTAATAATTGGAGTCACTATGATAAACTAAACACTCATCATCAATATAAAATTCAGTAAGATTGGTCTGTTTTCTACAAGTGTTAATTCCTTAGATAAATATTTAAAGCATAGAGTAGAAGAAATAATCTTACACAAAACTTGATCGCCTTAAAAGCAACCATTTGCCACCAAAAGTTGGGAAACCCCAACGAGCATCCTTGAAAGGCAATCGGCAATGTATTAAAATCGTTGATCATGTTTGAATATTGTACTGGTTTCATAGCATAGACTAATGCCAGATTGTATCTATGAAAGTGATCATTGCTAAAGTAAATGCAATATTTGTTAATTCCATCATTAGCTGCAACAGTCGTTCCTATATCCAAAAACAATGCTTCGTTGCCAATAGAAAGACTTTCTTGAATACCAATCTCTTTAAAGGGACCTGGCTTTATGAAACTCTTCAAAGTTCGAAGACAGATCGAATCATGTCGCGGACTTTGAGATTTTAAAATTATATCGGTGAAGCCGTTTGATAACCACGGATGCGGGGATCGAGATATTTAAAACTAAATTAAATGGAAAAGTTTAGTAAGAAATTGATGAACTAAAAGGAAAATACTGAAAATATAAATTTGACAAATTGGGCTAGCTACACGATACGCAACTGTATATTGATCCTCTAAAAAAAAAACTATATATATATATATATGTTAAAGAGTGAATTATATCTTAATTTGCATCACGAATTAGGAAATAAAAATCTTAAATGAAGGAAGTATGTAAAGAAAAAAAAAGGAAAATATTTTTAATTTATAAGTAATTTATTTACATAGTTTAAAAGGAAAAATCAAATAATATGTTAATTCAATATTATACAAACGAAAGGGAAGCGTTCTTTAATTAGGTTTTTTTACTTGGCCGTGACACAGAAGAAACAGAAGAAGGAGATGAGCGATTCCAACGAAAAAAAGACATGCAACGATTCAAAGCAGCCGATACTTGTCCCGGACTTGGTTAGATTGGTCTTGGAACGCTTGAGCTTTGTTGATTTTCATCGAGCTAGATGTGTTTCTTCAGGATGGTATTCCGCTTCGAAATCATGCATTGGAGGAACAAATCCGACAGCTCCATGGATTATCCTCTTTCCAAACGAACATGTGAAAACCAACAACGATTCGTGTAAGTTGTTTGATCCTCGTGACCATAGTTCATACACAATAAGAGATCTCGGGTTTGATATGGTTAGGAGTCGTTGTTTGGCAAGTTCCGGTAGCTGGTTCCTTATGTTAGACCATAAAACTGATTTTCATCTCTTGAATCTATTTACTCGAGAGAGAATTCCTCTTCCGTCTCTGGAATCAATTGATGGATGGCAGATGAAGTTTGTGAGAACCGGTGACTCTGATTTCGAGATGTCTATGTATTACAAAGCACATGGACTTGTTTCTTATGGTAAAAACAGCGATCTTAGAATAAGGGGTGCGGTTTTGTGGGTAGATGAAAAAACCAGAGATTACTTTGTTGTTTGGTTTCATCATAGCACTTTTGCATATCACAAGAAAGGAGGTGACAATAATAGCTGGAAAGTGTTTCAACCTTCAAAGCATCAAGGATGCCGCCATATGGTGTATAAAGAAAGCAAACTTTACGTGCTTAGTCCAGCTCGAAATATTTCTGTGTTTGATTTCTCCGGTGGTCATTCTCCAGTGGAGTATGCAACTCTCCCATCTCCGAAAGATTGTTATGTCAGGAATCTTGCTGTGACATTGTCTGGAGAAGTTTTGATCATTTCAAGCAATCCAAAGAAATGCTTCTTCACCCTCTACAAGATAGATCCTAAATCATCAAAATGGAGATTAATCAAGTCTATAGGGGACGAAGCATTGATTTTGGACCTAGGAATAACGGTTGCAGCCAAAGATGGAGTTATGAGAAATTGCATATATTTTAGTCATGATGATTTACATAGATATAAAGGGGTTAGTCTATGCAATGATGATAAGTACGGTATTTGCGTCCACCCTATTAAAACCAAGAAAAAGGTCCAAGTGTTTGAACATCTTACTACTTCATCGCCAATACCATTCAAGGATGCTCGTTGGTTTTTCCCCACTTTTGGTGGAAAGTAGTTTGCTCTAAAACTATATCAAGTTTTGTCCTTTGGTAAGGGTTGATTATTATTTTTTATATTGTGGAACAAGACTGTGTTGCTAGTTTTCTTTTATGTTTTTGAACTCAAAAAGGTTTGAAAACCATAGTCAAATATAATATCTATATCAGATTTATAGAATATATATTTTATATATTTTTCGAAAGGGAACATCGTTTTGGTTTGGATATTATATTGGACGAGACAACGAGTGATAGTGTTTTCTACTTACTGGTTAAACTAACTACATTTTATTTTAAATGAAATAATTGATATATCAGTAGTATTTGGGCGTAAACTATTGGTTTAAATGAAATAACTGTATAATTTACATCATTCTTTTTTTTTGGTTCAGTCGTTCAGAGAAGAAAAGTTTATTTTTCTCCTGCAAATAAAACTTTACATCACTGTTATTTAGACAACCTTTTTACATTGCGATTAAGAATAAAGAAGTATAGTTTAGACAATTTTATTTGCAGTCCTTTTCACTATTGGACCTTGTGAATTGTGATTAAGTAAAAATCCCGTAATTTACATTTGGACTCTTTGAAGTATAGTTCTTAGATTGTTTTTATTGGAGAAAAATTCTAAGGTAAATGGAATTTGCCCAGGAAAGGACTGAGGAACCAAAATTTTAACTTTTTGATGAGTATACTTGTCAATTACTCAATATACCGGACGCAATTATATATATATATATCTTTAAATATAATAAAATACTTAAAACCCTAAAATAATGACAATTAATGTTACAATACTTTATAATACTCTTTAGTTTTGATGACAATGATTTTTTCCCTACAATTACTCATAAAACAAAGGGAAAAGAAACTAAAAAAGAATGAAGAGCAACTTGTGAGATCTCACATTTTGATAGATAATCACTGTTAAATGGTGAAATTTGTGTAAAATAAAGAATTTTCTTTTGAGAAAAGAAGAAAAAAATGATATGGTATTCTGTATTCATCCTTTTCCCACAATGGTCACTAATTTAACTATAGAGATTCTTTTAGTGTTTTTAAATTTGAGGTGTAGTTAAAAGATTTCTTGAGATATATAATTCATTCATCAGGAGTTGGTTGTCCTCAACACAATTTGGCCCAACTGTGAATAATAAATAATAGAAAAAATCAAAAGATTCATCTAAACTTTCAAGAATCTTACCAACGAGAATCTTGATTCCACATCCCACATCTAAGTATCTCCGGATCCGATCCTCCATCTGAAATTTCTTTGTGAAAAAGTTTTGATCTTTATTGGATTATCTCTCTTCCTCAGGACAAGTTCATTGCCGGGTACAAAACCTTTGATGCCCCTGAAGATCACGTTTTTGTATGCCTCAGGGCTATTTTGGTCATAAAGAATTTTGGGATAGAGAAAGTAATTAATTACATTTTCAAAGGCCATGTTTGTTTTCTAACTAAACAGATAATCTAAACACAAGGGTAAACGACCGTGTTTAAGTAACAGAGACATTGTTACCATTTAAGGGCATCATTATTATAGGTTGGGGAAAAAATTGCTGGACAACACCCTCCAGCTTTTCAAATTTTACAAATCTTACGACAATGGAAAATAACCGTCCGTTATGATTTTGTAATTATCGAGTTCGAGCGTTAAGAGAAACGACTTGTTCTTATGTTGTTGATAAAATAAAAATGTTGTTTTCCAGTGCTACGTATTTATATTGTTTTCTAACATGTGGGTAGATATGGGTAAATATACAGAATTTGATAAATTGGAGGAATCTTTTAGCAATTTACTCAATGAATATGTACCGAACTAAAAAAGTAAAACCTTGGCTATTTTTTTTTTTTAAGTCCCTTGAAACTATGATAATGGTTTTTTCAAAAACATAACACGAGCTAAAGCCCAAACACAGACAAAAGCCCAAATATTACTCAAAGCAAAATAGCTCGTGAGAGGGAAAAAACGAAAGAAGAAGAAGCAAAATAGCGCGTGTTATCACGCACGCATAGACGCGTGAGAGAGCGAATGGTGTTTTCAAGGCCGTTAAGGTACTGTGGCTCGCACACTGCTTCCATTAATTCACAAATTAAAATCTGGCTCCATTTTCTCTGAAGATCTTCTCAAGATATTCTGAAGAACAGCGAAGAAGACGAAGATTGAAAAATCTCTTGGTAATTTTTTTTCTGGTTTGCTTTAGCATTACGCGTTTAGATTTCCGGATGATGGTGACGATGATGATGATGATGGATTGATGATGATGAGTAATGACGTTCTCTTGATTCGATTTTTCTGATTTCATTCTCGTCGTGTGTGAGAGATTTTGTGTATCTTCGTTTCTTATTGTGGTTCGATTCCACAACCTAAGAACAATCGGTTATATACATGAAGTTTCCTGATGGTTTATTGATGTTGATGATGATGATTGAAGATGATGATGATGATGATGTGACGATGATGATTTCTTAGGGTTTTATGGTTTCAGTCTCGTGTGTGTGGTAGATTTTATGTATCTTTGCTTCTACACTTGATTCGATTGATGATGATGGTGAATTGATGTTGATGAATTGTGACGATGATGAATTTTCTGGTTTCATTCTCGTGTATGTAAGAGGTTTTTGGTATCTTTGCTTCTACTGTTGATTCGATTGATGATGATGGTGAATTGTGTGACGCTGATGAATTCTCTGGTTTCTCTGGTTTTGTTCTCGTGTGTGTGAGAGCTTTTGTGCATCTTTGCTTCTTCTCTCGATTCGATTCCATAACCTAAGAAAAATCGTTTAGATACAACAAAATCTGCACGTCAAATCTGGTTCTAGATCACTACAACACCATAGATTCATGTTCCAAAAAAGTTTGTTTCTCGTCTTTGTTTTTTCCTCTCTCATCCTCTGTTTTTTTTTTTTTTTCTCATAACCGCGATTTCTTGGGTTTTTTTTTGTTTGTTTTCAATTTGGGTTTCTAATTTGCGTTTTCAATTCCATTTTTTTTTTTGATCAAACAATTCCATTTGTTTACTGCTTTTTCCAATTGCATTTTCACCGTACTTTCTTGTTTCAGTAAGTTCAGACTATATCTATACAAATTTCTTGCTTAGTGTTCCTTAATTCTCGACAACTTATATAAGTTACTGAATGAAGAATAACGAAAATTTGGTGTTGTCCTTAGTGTTGGTTCTGTACTGGATATAGTTAGGCCTGGTCTTAGGTTTTAGGATTCTCTTGGTCATATTAACATTTTTGGACTCTCATATTTACATTATGTCTCTATTTGGGCCTGTGTTTTATGATTCTCTTGGTCATATTAATATTTCTGGACTCTCATATTTTCATTATGTCTCTATTTGGGCCTGTGTTTTTAGTATTCTCTTGGTCAGATTAACATGATTGGACACTCTTTCTTACATGTCTCGATTTGGGCCTATTGTTACATTTGCTTCCTTGCATCACAAGTTAATGTTTCCTTTTTGATGTTTTTTGTTTTGGGCAGATCTGAAAACATGTCGGACGTACCTCTTTTCGATTTTATAGACTACATACAAAGCTATACCGGACGTGAGAAACTCTTGCGGATACATCATATGGTGACAAAGGGACTCTTGGAGGAAGAAGATGAACTTGTGGCTTTGCAAATGGCATTTGAAGAACTCACGAATGGGACACCCAAATGGAGACTTCAGACTGATTACAAGTTTCTAGAGATCATATCAAATCTAATCAATGGAAGATTAGGCCAGCAGTACATAGCAACTCCGGAGATCCTCAAGCGAATGGAGTCACTCTACATTGAGGAACTAGACAAGCGAAACTATCGCTTGAGATATGCAATGGTACACTCATTATAATGTCTTATACTGATGTTTTTATTTTAAATATATATATGGTATAGTGTAACAGCTTACATTGGTGTCTCTTAGAAGTGGGCTCGTGATGAAGAGGAAGAGGCTAAGAACCAATGCCGCATGGAAAATCCAGAGAAGCGAAAGGTTATGGAAAGTCTTAGACACCAACTTGGTCGATATCAATACCATAGTGGACATCTAGAGGAAGCTTTTGATACGTTGAGTAAGCTTCCCGTGTGTATTTTGCTTGTGATCTCGGCATTGCATTGCCGGAAGTTCGAGGAAGTGTGCATTCTTTCGATAAAACTAGATACATACGCACCCAAGCTTGATGACGGTGATGATAGGAAAGCTATACATTTCAAATCGTTATGTGCAAGAGGCTTAGCCAACATGGCTAGAGGCCACTATTATGCAGCCGCCGTTTTGGTAATTAAACTCTTCAAAATATTTATGTTTGGTATATAGTTATGTTTGGTATTTGGTAATGATCAATATTTTATTTGTTTTTGCAGTTTGCCCATATGATAAAATTCTATGTGAAGTGGTCAACATATACGTTCGAGTTGTTTGCATGGGAGGACATAATCTTGTATTGCACATGGTGTGGACTTGCCACTATGCCCAGAGAAGAACTAGAGGTAATAGGTTATCATAAATAATCAAATATTCGTAAACAATCTTACAAACAATCTCACTTGTAATCATTTTTAATTGATTTTTGATAGGATATTGCAAAGCACATGGGAAGTCAACTAGTTGGCGACCAATTCCAACACTTGATTAGAGAATATCTTGGAGGGTATAATATATAACTATTAAAAACATTATATTGAATAAACTTGTCGGCTATTCAACAAGCTTGGTTTATTTGTTGCAGGAGATTTGATCGGTGCTTAGAATTTATGGTAACTCATTCAAAACCAAAAGCTCTCCTAGACATATATCTTCATGAGCATGTGAATGCACTAGGGAAACTCATCGAGGACAAGTTAATTGTTGAGCCGGAAGCTGCTCCCACGGATGATTAGGAAGATGCTCCTAAAGCCTTATGGTGTTCCGGTCTTGGAGGTGATGCAGCGCATCTTATCAAGTTCGAGTCGTTGGACGCATTAGTTGGTGTTGTGTTTTCGTGTCAAACAAGTTTTTGCCGTCTTTGGTTATTTTTGATTTCTTTCCGTTTTAGGATAAAGTCGAAGTCCTATTTTCATTGGAATTAGGATTAGGCCGTCTCTCTTAGGCTTATAAATAGAGTCTCCTCAAATCTTTGTATCAATATCACTGATTTGAATCAATAAAGAAAAACCCAAAAAGAGGTAACCCAAGTTACCCAAAAGAGCTTTGGACTCTAGTATCGTATCCATCTATCATCATTACTATCCTCATCACGCATTCACGCTACTATCGATCCATCTATCATCATTACCATCCTCATCACGAGTTTGACCTTTGTCCCCTTCAAGAGCATCATATATTTGATGACCTTATACTCCATTTCACCAGATATGCATCTTCAGCTCCAGTGATGTCAGAAAGGATAATTAAGAGGAGATTAATCAGAGCCAAATTCTTCAGTAATATCCCAAAACCATTCCCATTGCTATGCCAGCAACAGAGCATTTGACTGGAATTCCAGCATCTTGTAAAAGCCAAGCAACCACAACAAACAGATTACATTTGTTTCAGAAGAATATAAGAAGCAAGCGCAAATCTATAACTCAAACAAATTAACTTGGCAGGTGCATATCTTACAGCCACAGAGAAAAAAAAATCTGACCTACCTTGAAGAGGCATTGCTTTCAATTAGTACTGCATGCACTTTCATTCAACACGTATTGTGTAAGGAAAATCATCATCAGTAGGAGGTTATCTGGTCTCCATTGCTCACTCTGCTAGTGTCCCGTGTTCCAATTCTTCCAACATAACCAGCAGAAGATGGAGGAAAAGTGTACTGAAACATCACAAGGAGTAGCTGAGAATATCTCTATAAGCTCAACAAAAAAATGAAACGTAGCAAAAAATCTAAATTCTACCTATTAAAAGGCTATTTTGTTAGAAAATGATAACAGAGTGAAAAGAAAAAGAAATATTGAAGAGACCTGAAGATAGAACCTTTTCTATTCATCAGAACCCTCAAGGCTGTTCGCCAATAGCTTATCACCAAGAGTAACAACTGCCAGTGCCTGAAACTAAATATCCTACCAACATACACAAAAGCTGTAGAATACCAAGAAATTAGATGCTATACCAATAATTCGCATCCTTAAGAGAGCTTTTTGACGATGTCTTTTTGAAGACCAGCTTCACATCTACTTGAAAAAATAGCTAGATGTCTTTTTGAAGACCAGCTTCACATCTACGATTTTGTTGCAAGTTTTCTTTTTATATTCATGTCTTTTGGACTCAAAAAGGATTGAATTGGAGATTAGACGAGTGATATTGTGTGTTTTCTACTTCACTGGTTAAACTAACTACATTTTACATGATTATCTATAACATTTGGGCGTAAACTGTATAATCTACATCACCATTTTGTTTTTGGTAAAGAGAAGAAATGTTTAATGTGTAGAATTTGCTCATTAAATGGAGAAATTATGTGAGATCACAAAATTAGCCCTGTGAATTAAAAAAACAAATTCACAAAAGTCATCCAAACTTTCAACGAGAATCTTGATTCCAAATCTGACAAAAGGTGGAATCGTGCACGCCTCTCCAAGTATCTCCGGCTCCGATACTCCATTTGGTGGATTCTTAGGAGAAAAAGTTTCAATCTTTGTTGGATTTTCTGATGGGTTTGCTCTGAATCGATTGGAAAATCAAACCGGTGTGGAGTCTGCAAAGTTTGGTTAATATGAACAGTCTTGTCAGAAGGAAACAAGTTGATTCTGTTCATCTGATCAAAAACGATGGACCTCATCAGCTTGCCAAGAAACTATCCGCCGTTGATCTTGTTGCTATTGGTATGAGAAAGCTTCGAACTTTGGCGAATTTTGATCAAAATTCTACCTTTTTCTTGCTATTGATGTTGACTATGTTAATTTTTCAGGAGTTGGGACAACAATTGGAGCAGGAGTGTATATTCTTGTGGGAACAGTAGCTAGAGAGCACACAGGACCTGCTCTTGCTGTATCATTCTTCATTGCTGGTGTAGCTGCTGCTCTCTCGGCGTGTTGTTATGCTGAGCTTGCTTCTCGTTGTCCATCTGCTGGGAGTGCTTATCATTATGCATACATTTGTCTTGGAGAAGGGTATATAGATGGGTTTCAATGTCAAAATTTACTTTGACCTTGTCGTTCTTCTTAAAGCTGATACTCATGGATTTTCTTATTTAATAGGATTGCTTGGTTGGTTGGTTGGGCGCTGGTGTTGGATTATACAATTGGTGGATCAGCCATTGCCCGTGGCATAACTCCAAATCTGGTATTTCCCTTTGAGTTATATGTATTTGTGGTCTTTCATTGATTAAATTTTGACTGGTGTTTTCTTTTGTTTTAGGCATCTTTTTTTGGTGGTTTAGACAAACTTCCTGTGTTCTTAGCTCGACAAACTATACCCGGGGTTGGTATTGTGGTTGATCCATGTGCAGCACTTTTGATTATGATTGTCACGATACTACTATGTTTTGGGATAAAGGAGGTACTTTATTGAAAACATTTTGAATGAATTCATTTCAGGATGATCAGATCGCCTAATAGTGTTATATCGGGTTATTTTGTTTTCTCAGAGTTCATTAGTACAAGCAATTGTAACATCAGTGAATGTTTGCACCTTGGTTTTCATCATAGTAGTTGGTGGATATTTAGCTTGCAAGACTGGATGGGTTGGATATGATCTTCCGAGTGGGTAATTAGCCTGTTCTCTTCTTCCATTGAGCTTAGCTTTTGTCAAAATGTTATTTCTTAAGGTCAATGTTTAATACTTGTCTTTACAGGTATTTTCCTTTTGGACTAAATGGGATACTTGCCGGATCTGCTGTAGTATTCTTCTCATACATTGGATTTGATACTGTAACTAGTACGGCTGAGGAGGTACACAGTTTAGTGAATAATACTCTCATTCTTTTGGAATGATTATCCTTGTCTTTTCTCTACAAAGGACTCACTTTGACGATTTCATATAGAACTAACTAGTAGTAAAAGAGGATTTTTGGTCTTAGTATTGTGAACTTTTTTTTTCCATAATTCTGCCGATTTTCTCTGTTAAGCTCTTAACCTTTTGGTATTGCCACAACAGGTGAAAAATCCTCAAAGGGATCTTCCATTGGGAATCGGGATTGCATTACTGATATGCTGCATTTTATATATGCTTTTATCAGTAGTTATTGTTGGATTAGTCCCATACTATTCATTGAATCCTGATACTCCTATCTCCTCTGCATTTGGAGACAGTGGGATGCAATGGGCAGCGTAAGTATATGATACATCTCTTGAGACTCAAATTTCTCTATATTAATTAGTGAATATGGATATACACATACTTCCTTCTGTCTTTGCTTTGTTTTTTCTTATTATTCCTATATATTTCAGGTACATCTTAACCACTGGGGCAATAACTGCTCTATGTGCGAGTTTGTTGGGTTCCCTTCTGGCTCAGGTACTAACCAATTCTATCGTTCTGAAAATTCAAGTTCAGAAGATTTTGTAATTGAGATTACATGCAAGTTCTGTGTGGGTTTTGGAAATGCTTACTTGTCGTTTTTGACAGTGCTTTTGTAATTTTTTTTTATTAGCCACGAATTTTCATGGCAATGGCTAGGGATGGATTGTTGCCGGCTTTCTTTTCAGAAATTAGCCCACGAACTCAAGTACCAGTGAAAAGCACAATAGCTATTGGTGTGCTTGCCGCTGCACTCGCATTTTTCATGGATGTTGCACAGTTGTCCGAGATGGTAAGCTACTGTATTTGCCTACATTACATGTCTCATGTCTTAAGGAAGGATTTTCACCTACAATTAATGGCAAACAGAAATTGACTGTTCATTGTTAGTAGTATAGTGTTGATATTGTTGAAGCAATTGGCATATATTTTGGAGTTGAGACACGCCTAAACACACTCTATTACGGTAACAGATCCTTCTCTGAGTAGCTCACATCGGTAATTTATCCAACAGGTTAGTGTAGGCACTCTAATGGCATTCACTGCCGTTGCAGCATGTGTGCTAGTTCTTAGATATGTACCACCAGATGGAGTTCCCCTAGCATCTTCATCTCAAACTTTGAGTGATACCGATGAAAGTGGAGCTGAAACTGAAACTTTTCTTGTGGATGCTATAGAATCTTCTGATTCCCCTCTACTTGGCAATGAAACTGCACGAGGTACTAAAATCATAAAATGTGCTCAATCATGTAGTTACCAGTTGGATATGTTGTAAAGATACATCCAACAAGTCAATCTATACTGCTTTTTATCTGCATTTTAGAAATATAACTTTTTTGCTTCTTTTTAATTGAACAGATGAAAAGTATTTTGGAAAGAGAAGAAAAATTGCGTCCTGGAGTATAGCTCTTGTGTGCATAGGTGTGCTAGGTCTTGCTTCAGCAGCTTCGGCTGAGCGTCTTCCAAGGTTGTTTCATCATCTGATATCTTATGTCTGTATAACCTGTTCTGCCCACATGTAATTACGTCTACTAAACAAATCTTTTAGTTTGGTTGATTAGCTTTGAACGACATCAGTCCTGCTTGCATGTCAAAGCGATAAGTATGCTCAATTAGAAAATGCATGCCTGTTTCAGAATTTTGTGAAGCACTTTTCAACTGCTGTGTGGAAAGATTTGCATGTTTTTATCTTTGTAATATGATTATAAACTCTAATGGGTTATTTCTTGTTTGTGGCAGTTTTCCTCGGTTCACTATATGTGGTGTCAGTGCCGTCATCTTGCTTGGCAGTTTGATTACTCTTGGCTACATCGACGAGGATGAAGAAAGGCACAACTTTGGACACAAAGGAGGTAAGGCCTGGAGCTTATTTAAGCCTTTTTTTTCTTATTCATACAGAACAAAAATTGGTTGGTCTCACTTTTTTAAAAAACTGCTGCTTGCTTAAGAGTTTCTATTCATTTGCTGAGTTGGTTATCACCTGGTTAGGACGGAGATTTTGAGGTTTTGGCAAAAACCATAAACTTGGATTTATACTTGAGCAGCGTTTTCTTACTGGCATTCTGTATATGATTCTATTTCAGGGTTTCTCTGCCCATTCGTCCCATACCTTCCAGTTCTTTGCATATTGATCAACACCTACTTGATCATCAACATTGGGTGAGTTAGTCTGATGGACCCATGTATGATACCAGTATATTGGGATGTTTCTTAACCCTTGCTGGTAATTTGTAATCGCAGAGCTGGGACATGGATCAGGGTCTTGGTATGGCTACTTATTGGAAGCATGATCTATCTCTTCTATGGCCGATCTCACAGCTTACTGAACAATGCGGTTTGCGTTCCAAGGACGACTTGTACCAGAAAAACAACAGATCATCTTGCTTAAGATTGGTGGTTCAATGCAGCAGCTGAAGGGAGTCGAGCTCAAGCTTTGTTGTTGCTGAAGTAGCATCGAAAGAGAATTAAACAGTTTGGCACAAGATTAAAATACATACAAGAACATTTCATGTACATTGTTTAGTCATTCAAAACGTATAATGTCATTTTTGTCCCAACGTACATTGGACTTTGAAGTAGTCCATTTAAAAACTCTCATGAATCATCATGGTACTAACATGAAAGAAGACAGTGTTGTGGTTAGTATACTATTGAGGATCGGATCATCAGCCTTATCGACTTAGGCAATGAGTTGAGACTTCCTTCACCTTAATTAAACTCAGCAGATTCTCTCAAAAAAAAAAAAAAAAAAAAAAAAAAAAAAAAAAAGAAACAAAGGCAAAGAAAGAAAAAGGAAATAACAGAAAAAAGGAAATCTTTTATGTGACCGTTAATTAATTGTGATTAGCAATTTCTTTTGAACCTCTTTGCTTATAAATAGATGAGACTCTATTTCTTCCTTGTGAGAGAAATCAAAACTCTCTGTTTCTCGCTTCTTCTTCTTCTTCTTCTTTGAAATAAATTAGGTCGCTGCTAAGAGTTAGGGTGATCGGAGCCGGAAAGCATATATCATCGTGAATGATGATATCCTCTGTCATCTTCAGTCGCCCTAAATCCACCGGATAATGATCTAGCCACCGAGGTCGATGTCACAATTAGGGGTGGATGTCGTAAGTGGTGGATGATGTTGGAAACTGATCCTATTCTTAATCCTACTTGAGATGAGATCAAGACAAGAGTGGAGAAGATGAGAAGAGACTGCAACAAAAGAGAGGAGAGAGATCGTAACAAGAGAAGAAAGAAAGAAAGAAGATGTGTTTGTGTTTGTGTCGTAAGAGAAAGAACAAAAAGGCCAATGGGCCTTGGTGTTGAATTGAAGGCCCAAATATTAAACGGGTTATTCACATGGATGTCACCGAAGAACGATGGGCTCAAATCTGACTTTAGAATGGCTTTTTCGTGTCGGGCCTTCTTTGCTACCAAATCCAACCAGGTATTCCTTTCTTCATTCTTATTTTTGTTTTTGTTTCCTTTTATTTTTCTTTAATATTAGTTTAAATATTTAATTAGTTTATAAAAATTAAGTGTTAGTTAAACTAAATCATTTTAAAATAATAATTTTTTCACTTAAACTATAAAAATTTTACTAAAATTTAAAACAAATTTAACACTTAAAACTTTTAACTAAAACTATGTTAATTTTACTATTATTTTTTGAAAGTTAGTTTAAGTGTTAAATTTTAAAAACGTCGAAAACTAACCGCGCCTAGGCATCCTGTCCTTAGTTGGTCCGTAAGCTTTGGTGTTCGAAGTTCGGCAATGTTTTCACGTAATATAGATTTAACACTTAAACTCATTTTTAAAAAATAATAGTGATTTTGACTAAAATTTATAATAAATTTAACACTTAAACTTAAAGAATAAGTTTTTTTAAAACTAAAACCATGTCAATTTCACTAAAACTTTTTAAAAATTAGTTTAAGTGTTAAATTTTAAACACGTCGAAAACTAACCGCGCCTAGGCATCCCGTCCTTAATTGGTCCGTAAGCTTTTGGTGTTCTAAGTTCGGCAATGTTTTCACGTAATATAGATTTAACACTTAAACTCATTTTTAAAAAATAATTGTGTTTTTGACTAAAATTTAAAACAAATTTAACACTTAAACTAATTTTACTATTATTTTTTAAATGTTAGTTTAAGTGTTAAATTTTAAAAACGTCGAAAACTAACCGCGCCTAGGCATCCTGTCCTTAGTTGGTCCGTAAGCTTTGGTGTTCGAAGTTCGGCAATGTTTTCACGTAATATAGATTTAACACTTAAACTCATTTTTAAAAAATAATAGTGATTTTGGCTAAAATTTATAATAAATTTAACACTTAAGCTTTAAGAAAATAAGTTTTTTAAAACTAAAACCATGTCAATTTCACTAAAACTTTTTAAAAAATTAGTTTAAGTGTTAAATTTTAAACACGTCGAAAACTAACCGCGCCTAGGCATCACGTCCTTAACTGGTCCGTAAGCTTTGGTGTTCGAAGTTCGGCAATGTTTTCACGTAATATAGATTTAACACTTAAACTCATTTAAAAAAAATAATAGTGATTTTGGCTAAAATTTAAAACAAATTTAATACTTAAACTTTAAGAAAATAATGTTTTTAAAAATAAAACCATGTCAATTTCACTAAAACTTTTTAAAAATTAGTTTGAGTGTTAAATTTTAAACACGTCGAAAACTAACCGCGCCTAGACATCCCGTCCTTAATTGATCCGTAACCTTTGGTGTTCGAAGTTCGGCAATATTTTCACGTAATATAGATTAACACTTAAACTCATTTAAAAAAAAATAATAATGATTTTCACTAAAATATAACTCTTAAACTTTTTAAAAAATAATGCTTTTAACTAAAACCATGTTAATTTCACTATTAGTTTAAGTGTTAAATTTTAAAAACGTCGAAAACTAACCGAGCCTATGCATCATGTTCTTAGTTGGACCGTAAGTTTTGGTGTTCGAAGTTTAACATGTTTTCACGTAATATAGATTTAACACTTAAACTCATTTTTATAATATAATACTGATTTTCACTAAAATTTAAAATAATGTAAAAATAACTTTAACACTTAAACTAATTTGTTTAAAAAAAATGTTTTTAACATAAAGCATGTTAATTTCACTGAAAAAATAAACATGTTGTTGTTGAAGTAGAGCATCTAAAGTGAACTAAACAGTTGGCACCAGTTTAAACACATGTCAATACATAAAACAACATTTCATATACATTGTTAGTCATTCGAAATGTATCTCTTAAATGTCAATTTCATTTTTCTTCCTTTTCCATTTCCAGATATAGTTTGCCAATATTGGCTAAGTGATCTTTAGAACTCTTGAAATTGCCAAGTCCATCTAATAACTCGAAAGATAACAAATATTGGGAAACTTTGACAATAAAGAGTGCAAGATGCAGACATACACATTTAAAAGCTGAAGAAAAATCATCTAAATAAAATTTAGTCAATAACATGAAAATATCAAGTAACCTAAACGGACTAATGAGTTTGCAAGAGAGAAGACAACAGAAAGAACTGATGAAATGTCTGATAATCTCCCAACATATGCCGTCTTCAAAAATGTTATCCTCCTCCACACCAGGCTTGCCAACATATATGCACAGCTTCAAGAAACTGCCAAGAAAAATAACTACAAAACATTAGAAAAAATATCAAGAAAAGACATTTGCAACTTGTCTTGTCTCAAGTTTTCAAGATTTCTCAAGTCGCACATGTGGTTCCGTTGGAAGAAACTCTCCTCCTTTCGTAACAGATATGAACAGTGATCTTGTTTGCATTCACTAGCTGATTGTAGCTTCACCGTTGACTAAACTTTCTTCGTTGGTACTGCTATTGCTTTTCATTGTCTTGTCACTACTACCACCAGTTGCTCTCCTTACATCTTTCTTCTTCAGGACAAGTTCATCCCCAGATGAAACCTTTGATGCTCCTGCTGCTGCACGGTCCTTTGACGAAGTATTTACATATTTCCTTTGCGAACCCTTGTCTTTGGTAGAATCACCTGCCGGCTGTTGTTTCTGACTGTCTTTGTCTGTCTCTGATTCGGGAAGTAAAGCCCGTACACTAAGTCGAAGCTGACCCTTTTCATTCACCTGCATTATCCATGTTTCTTTGTTCAACAACTCTCTAATTATCATTTCCGTCTCTTGAGTTATAAAGACACAATAACTCGCTGACCTCTATTAGTTTGACGTCAATGCGGTCTCCTACTTTATAGGCCTGAAAAGACAAGAATGAGCGTATGTGACAACCTGAATAAAAGATGAAACAATTTCTATAAAAGAATGGAATCAATGAGTAATGCTCACATCCTCTGGTTTTGCAAGCCATTCAGCACTCAGCTCACTGATATGGCAAAGACCTTCCCGCCCAGGTGCAATCTCTACAAAGGCACCATAAGGAGCCATTGACTTGATTTCACAATTCCTGATACAAAAAGAAAGGTCAGAATCCAAATCTATTTACGCTTCTTGGTCAGAGAAGGTATATGAAGGATACATACCTGTAGATATCACCAACAGCGGGAACCATTGTCAATCCACTAATAATCGCTTTCGCCCTTTCCAGACTCGCTACATCGATTGCCATAATTTTGACCTTGACAGAGATAAATATTAAGAGGTTATGATAAAGAATACCAAATAAATGTATTAAAACATTAAGAAGAATGAAAACATTTATGTATGTATATCTCACAGTTCCATCATCTTGCATATCAATGGCCTCAACTCCAGATTCTTCAATGATGCTCTTTACTTTCTTACCACCAGAACCAATAAGAGAGTATACTTTGCTTGGATGAACCTGCAGCAAATGAAACACAAACACTCTTTAGTTCAAGGCAGTAAGACATTATTAGACTGGGCAATCATGGAAAAATTAGTTGAAGCCAAACCTTCATAATATGTATCAATGGAGCGTATTTTGAGAGGCTTAATGTAGGAGGCGGTGAGCACTTTGCCATTTCAGCTGCACAAAAAGAAAAAAATAATAGTAAATTACATCTTTTATGGCATACATTTTTCTAGAAACTAAATCTCCCCAAGTATATTGTCTTGAGACTAATACTGAATTCCTTACCAAGAATATGGCGACGCCCAGCTTTTGCCTGTATCAGAGCCTTTTCCATTATCTCTAAAGTGATTCCTCCTACCTAGTTCATGATTAAAGAGAAGAAGAAAAAAAAGATGTTACCAACAGATTTATTTATCAATTGCCATTTAAAACCATTTCGGCAGTGTAAACTAAGAAACGGATGATGACCTTAATGTCCATCTGAAAGGCGGTAACACCATCTTCATTCCCAGCAACCTATTGAAAAACAAATCAAAACTTCAGCATTCAAGTCAATGCAAGGTCCTTCAAGGGAATCCTTATGTTTTCTGACCTTAAAGTCCATATCACCAGATGCATCTTCAGCTCCAGTGATATCAGAAAGGATAAGGGGAGATCCATCACCGCCAAATTCTTCAGTATCCCAAACCATTCCCATTGCTATCCCAGCAACAGAACATTTAACTGGAACTCCGGCATCTTGCAAAGCCAAGCAACCGCCGCAAACAGATGCCATACTGTCACATTTTATGATCAACATAAGAAGCAAGTACAAAATTTATCATTCAAACAAACTTGGCACGTGCAG